ATCTTCGTAGCCCTCATCCACCAGGAGACGCACCCTGTGAAAAATGGTAACTCGTTAGATGTCATTTGTCTCACGTTTTAGCTTTTCAGGGTGTTTTTCAACTTTTCACTCAGCAACCTGTTATGCTTGTCATAAAGATACTGTCTTCCACTGTGGCATGTGTACTGAGAGACCTTTAATAAATATTGTGTGGTGATGATAGAGATACTGCTGCATCCTGGTAGGAACATGATCCTTCTCCCATGCACACGGAAATTTCTAACGTGGTATTTACGACTATGCTTGCTAAGACGGCATTAAAGATAGCTTCTGACAGGACACGCCAGTTTGAATGAATGACCACTGTAGCATTTCACTAAATAACATTTTCCTAGGTTTCCTTTCAGCATTTGTGTTCCCCTCCCTAAAATGCCTCTCTTCGTGGGCCCATTATTCAGATCTCATACCTATTCTTTCCTTTTATCTAGGGAATAAAATTAAGGATATCTGTGATCAATAGGGAAGCAAAAGGAATCTTCATACAAGTAAAACATTCTACGAGTAAAATTAGCTGGTTTGCAAATGATAGGCGTATGATAAGTGACACACTCGGAAAAAAAAAACTGTTGGCAAAGGTACCTCAATATTTTGAGCACTTGCCCCTTTGAAGTCTACGGGAATTTTGTCCCTGAGCATTGGGTTAAATTGACCAAGAAAAATGTATTCTATCTTCCTTCCGTGTCAACAAGATTGCTAAAATAAGAAGCTGTTCCTTTAAATTTATAGTCAGTTGACTAAAGAACAGCTTCCTGACTATGGTCTAAAAATGCAACCCTCTTTGCTTTGTTAAACGCTCTAATCTGTAGTGTGAGTCACCTCCTGACAGCCACCATCTGTATGTGTCTGGACTCCGGGCAGTGTCTGCCATGACTTCCAGGGGTCTCTGACGGCAGAAGATGCAATTTGCAGACAATGGCTCTTTTCTGTGATTCTCGGTATAGTCTTGCATGTGTCTGGATTCCAGAGTGGATCTAGGTGGATGGTCGGCGCCTTCCTCCAGAGGCTGACTATTTGAAAGGCATCCTTTCTGTTTCCATAGCATTTCTTGGGCTTCTAGTGCATGAGTCATATTTAATAACTACTACAGTAAGCAAAATGTAGGGCACTATACAAAACAAAAATCCCTCAAGCACAAAGCCCAACCCTCTGAGAAGGTACATTTTAAGATAAATTATAATCGAAGGTTAGACCTTGTATCTGCAGGTCAAAGGAATGCAAGTGCCAGAGTAGAAGAGACAACTCGGGTGTTCTGTCCAGAAATCAGTGTTCATGTCACATGCACCCTATGCCTGTCCTTAAGTGTATGTAATGCCATTTATGCCACTAAGGCTTTTTTTTTTTTTTTTTGCCTTGTTGACATTTGTGTGATGTCCTAAGGTTCTGGCAAGCAGTTACTTTTGGAACAAAGTCTATTTAAGGGAATTATCTAAGAGAGTTATATGATCACTTATTAAAAAGAGAGAAAGATTTGACAGAACAGATACACAATGCTGAACCTTAGTGCAACAAACCTTGCTCCAAAACTGCAAAAGGGTACCAGAGCACAAGACCTTTTAGGTAACACTTTCTCCCCGATTTTTTCTGAGTATTTCCCTCAGTTTTTGCCTCTTTTTCTTATCCAAGAAATATGCTATCTCATACTACAAAGGCGTAGCGTATGGATAAACAAATTCATGTGAGATGTCTTGTGTCGTATCTTGCAACACAAAGTTATCAAATTGTGAAGTATTAATAGTAAAGAATGAATATAGTCGACAAGACACTCTCATTTAAAAATAGGAGCCCTTAGAACTCATTATGAATCTGGAGACTGGTTATCTCATGAGAAAGATAAAGTTATGGCTCCGGAAACACAATTATATCGTGACTATCAAGGAAACCTGCCTGGTCTTTAAGCTAAGAGATCGTCGCTCGTGTTGCGACGCTGTATGGAAGCACACGAGCTACAGAGATGCTGCCAGAAGGGAGGAACCACTACAGATGAGAAGACAAAAAATCGCAGTAATTATAGAAATACAAATGAGTTAGTGTTTTGCAAACAAATATTAGAGAGAGACTACAAAGTGTGAAAAGGCAGAGATATAATAAGATTTGAGAAATGGAGCAGAAGATTGAAAACAGGTGTTAGAC